GTTAAGTGTTCATTATTTTTGGATTTTGTTTGTCCTGAAACAAGAAGCCTCTGTCATATGATTTGATGCAGCCCGGAGTTTCACAATCTGGTTTTGTTGACAGCACAGGTTTCAGTGTCCAGCAGCACAAAATGTACTATTTATGTTGGAAAGTGATGCGGCCTTGGCTTCAAATGCTTCTCTTATTTTAGAGTTCTGGTAAGCAAACTTAATTATCTTTCTCTGACCTTCAAAGTGACTTTGGTTAAATTTAGTTTCCTTTTAATTTCATTGGACGAGAAGGCGGGTGGAGGAGAGCTGCTGAATGGTTTACTGTACTAAGAAAATCATATGTAAGCCAATGTAAAAGTGAGATGAATGGCTGTTTTTCCAGTATAAGCCATCTCTAATTTTACAACACAATAATGTTGTTCCCTAGTGATTTAGAATATTAAAAACTGAAAAAGTTGAAGTTTACTTGGAGATAAACGTAAGTGATAAAACAGCATTCTCCCATGTGACAGTAAAGTGTTTCCATTCCAATTTAATATGTTTATTTTCAAGTACTTACTATAAAGATACTTAAATATGAGACCTCCAGGCTAATAACTATAAGTGATAAAAGGCAAAACTTGGCCTTTTTAGATCAGTGTTGATTAATTTCTGTGTTAATAACCTCTCAAGCTGGCAAAAGTGTGAGGCAGCTTCCATGGAGAGAAAGAACTGTGCAGTTCATATCTCTATAGGTAGGTAGGAAGCTCTGTAAAGAGATACAAGTTTCTGGACCTTTACTATCTTTTGCTTAACACTTTATTAGAGCTTGTTCAGTCTATACTAGGCTAGCTTTAGTGTGATTTAAGCAGAGTTTAAGCTAAACTACTCAACTTGTCATTAAAATTCAATATGCTGAGAGAAATCCTTAATTTACACTAGAGTCTTCCCCTATAAGTTTTTCTTTTTTCTTTTTTTTTTTTTTTTTTTTGTGGTACCAGGAATCAAACTTGGCACTTTGCACTTGCCAAGCAGATGCTTATGTTGTTGAGCTACAACCCCAGCCCTATAATGTATTTATGCTGTAGACATCAAAGAAAAGAATGAATACTTCATATAATATTAATTGAAAAAAGTACTTTTGACAACATTCAGGGTAATTTTGAGTTAGATTTTTTATTAACATTAGATATTATTTTACATTTGTTTTGCATATTATTTGAACTGTACATATTAATGAGGTATGGTATAACAATTTGATATACATATACAGTATATAATGAGCACATCAAATTAGCATTTCAATTTCTTCAAAGATTTTTTTCTTATCACGGAATAATTATCTATATTTATGGGATGACTAGTTTATAATAACCCAAGAAAATTCCAAATATAATGTTATAACAGAGAGATGGCAATATTAAGGGCCCTATTTTCATCAATACACATTATATACATATGTTGAAATATCACTGTATGCCATAAATATTAGCTCTGCTTTACTGATACTTCAAATATGAATGACACTCAAGGAATATCCCTTGAATCTTAGAAAGTAATCACATTCCCATGTCATTGTGTTTCTGTGTGTGTGTGTGTGTGTGTATGTGTGTGTGTTCATATTCAAGGTGGGGGGGACTCCAGCCCGAGCCACATACAAATTAAACACTTGTTCTACCAGTGGGCCTTATTATTTCACATTTATGAAGGAATTTCAAAATTACTTCATTTTTCACATTATAAAAGCTGAAAGGCTTTAGAATAAAGGGAAATTTTCCTTTTCTAGAACAGTGCAGGAGATAAAGACAACAACTTTGTAAAAACTGTGACAGTTTCTCTGAGGATAATTCTTTTCAGATAGTTATTTAAGGAAGTGGACACAAAAACTGTTTCAATTACATATTTTGTTTTGTTTTTTAACTCAAGGATGTTTTGAATATTTTACTTCACAAGATATAAAGATATTTTCGTTGTTTTAAGATTGACCTCTTTTGCAGGATCTATAACTTCAGATTGTTTGAGGTGTAAGTTAAGATTAAATGAGGGGGCCGGGGAGATGGCTCAGTGGGATAAGTGCTTCCCCGGCAAGCACAAGGGCCTGAGTTCAATCCCTGGTTCCGCAAAAAAAAAAAAAAAAGATTAAATGAGAAAAATGTATGACAATACCTGGCCCTTAGTAGGATCACATTAAATGCTGACATATCTACATCTATTTTGAGGTGCAAATAAAACTCTCCAAGTAATGTCTGTAAATTATTTCATAATATTTATTTTAATAATGTTCTAGATAAATGCACTGTGAAAAAATGGTGATTTGTTATTAAAAGAACAGCTCAGAGTTAACTGATTATGCAATGATGAAAGTAGATTTCAAAACCAACAGGAACCCATAAACCCTGGAGACAGGGATTGCATTAAATCTGTACAGCAGTATGGGACTATGGTCATCTTCACAATGTTGGTTCTTCCTATCCAGGAGCATGGAATATTTTTCCACTTTCTGAAATCCTCTACTATCTCTTTTTTAAGAGTACTGTAATTTTCCTTGAAAAGATCTTTGACTTCTTTAGTAAGATTAATTCCAAGGTATTTCGTTTTCCTCGGTGCTATTATAAAAGGTATTGTTTCTATAATTTCCCTCTCAGTGTGTTTGTTATCTGTGTAGAAGAATGCTATTGACTTTTGGGTATTGATTTTATAACCTGCTATGCTACTGAATTTCTGTATTAATTCTAGTAGTTTCTTGGTGGAGTTTTTTGGGTCTTCCAAGTAAAGTATCATGTCATGTGCAAATAATGATAATTTAACTTCTTCTTTGCCTATTTTTATTCCTTTTATTTCTTTCTCTTGTCTAATGGCTGTAGCTAATGATTCCAGAACTATATTGAATACGAGTGGTGAGAGAGGACATCCTTGTCTTGTACCAGATGTAAGAGTAAAAGATTTCAGTTTTTCCCCATTTAGGATTATGTTAGCCATTGGGTTTTCATAAATGGATTTTACCAGACTGAAGTAGAGGCCATCTATTCCAATTTTCTGTAGGACTTTGAACATGAATGAGTGTTGGACTTTGTCAAAAGCCTTTTCTGCATCAATTGAGATGATCATGTGGTTTTTCGTTTTCGCTCTATTGATATAGTGTATTAGAAGAACTTGTACTGTTAATGTCATGTAACTCAGTAGTGTCCCAAATTTTCTGATCAAGGTGATTATGGGGCCAAAGAGGAAAGTGATCAATGATGTAGAGTTGCCTAAGGAGAGTCACATGGAGTGAAAACATTCTCTCAGGCTTTCACAGAGAGCACATTGGCTAAGCAATGGCCGTGACTCATCCACATGGCTGACACTGACAAAGGATCTACAATCTGAGGTACAGGATCTCAGGATAAATCCTGAAGGGATTTGACTGACCTTATCAGACCCAAAAGCTACAATTCTTGTTGCATAGGTCTTGCTTTGTCTTGGTCTTAACCATCCAGCAGAAAAGTATAAAAACGAAGTATAAGAAGTAAAGCCATGGTGTTATGTTGAGCTGTAGGGGACTCAGGTCAAAAATTTCTGACACTGCAAGTCAAGAGGAAGACCCAATACTATCATGGACTATTGGACTCTTTTAGAATATTTTGCTGAGTTAACACACCTATAATATTCAAATGACAGAACTAAACAAAAAAGGGGATACAGATGAATGTCCATTTTGTATCTGTGTATTCAAAATGGCTAGGATAGATATATAGTTACATTCTCTTAATGAATAGAGGATTTGTTCTAATAGTGTTTGTAAGTAGGATATCATGCCTGCATCTTGTACAACAAATAACCACTAGGAAGAGCATATGCAATGTGTTAATTACTGAAACTGTCCTACCAATTTGATTTGAAACTGTCTCATTGCTATTTGTTTCTCAAAATTATGAAAATAAAAAACAAACACAAAACAAAACCCTGGAGAGAGGCCCAGTGGGGGGACAGAGACAGAGACCCAGAAGGGAGAGGGAGGCGGAGCCGCAGGGAGGGGAGGGGAGGGGAGCCTCCTGAGCCCGCTCTGCACATGTGGTTCACGTTCCCATCACACCACTCCTGTTCTGCTTTTAATTCATAGCCCTATCCAGTCGCTCTGCTGTATTCCTTACAAAATTGCCTTCTCAGTTTGTTTTGGAAACTTGTCTCTGATAATGAAATACCTCTTTATCTTCTCCTTCCCACTCCTGTTCAAGACGCAGCAGCTCCGAGGAGTCTGCCCCGTTCTCCCCCACCTGATGTTTATGGCTCTGCTGTGTGTTGCTTATTGTTAGAAAACAGTGCCCCGGGGGCGGGGCGCACTGGGATGGAACTGAGACCTGACAGACGTGGTGCTCGCTGTAATCTCAGCTCTGGGAGTCTGAGCACAGGCGGATCACCGCGAGTCCGATCTGTGCAGCGAGGCCCTGTAGACCCTGCCCCAAGTACACAAAATAAATAAATGCACACACACCACCCTGATGTTCTCCGCCCCTCGCTGCATTTCCACATTGGATGACTCTGCTCTCTGCTAAGAATGTTTCTTACCTGTGTTCATTAAAATCAGCCTTATTCTTCAGTGTCATCTTTCCATTCTCACATGTCAAAAATGACCTTTGGGTCAGTAAGGCACTAAAGCACTTCATAATTCTCCTAAACACTCATCAAACCCTTCATTTTATTATTTTTTTCTGCATTTGATGTGTCCTTTTCCTGACCCAGGGGAATCTCTAGAGCAACGGTAAAAGAGTACAACATAAAATATGTTTGGAATGTAACATTTTTAATGACCATTTTTAAAGAAGCAAAAATAAATTGTGGAAATTAATGGTAATAGTTAATAATAAATTTTATTCAGCATAATAGCTGCTCCACTGTTATCATTTCAACACATAAACAACATTATCAATTTTTACATTGCAACTTTACACAAATTCTGAAATTTGGAGTGTACATTCTACACTTATATGACATTTCTTTCTGACCAGCAGAACTTCTTCTCAGTGACCGGTTCATGCTAGTGGCTACAT